ATTCTAACCAATTGGCATGTGCCCATAAATAATAGCATAGATGTCATATTCAATAAACATCATCTTTTAAGATACAAGTATAGATCTTTGATAAATTGCACCAACAAGATTTTAAGCTATCTGATGCAGATAAACTTGACAAAATTTCCTCTGGTTAACTATTTGTTTGTGAATATTGGTAGGTGATGAAATGGAGGTGTGAATAGTATAATGGTTATCAGGAAGGACAGTCAACTTGGCATGCTAAGTTCAATTCTGACTCAGTTGTTTCAATAATACCCTTGTAAAAAGCATGAATCCGTCTTCCTCCAGCTATGGGTTAAATATCAGGATAGACTGGGCTTTCTAGCCTTGAGATGGTAACCAGTCTAAAAGGAAAAACTTTGAATTCAAAACCAGCCTGGTGAGGGAAGAACTCCATCAGGCTATCTTGGCTAAGAGACATCACTGCTACTATGACTGCAGTACATGTTGGGTCCTATGTTTCTAATGGGTTAGGAGACTCATTGCAATAAGGTGATAACAATAGAAAAGAAAATTTTAAGAATTTTATTTTCTATTTTCTCAATGATTACTCAGAAATTTAACAAGAGAAAAATGACTTATTTACATTATTTGGACTATTGTCCTCATCATTGTCGCCATATTTATTACAACGTTTTGGCACAGTGGATAAAGGTGTTGGTTAGATCCAGTGACAGGACCCAAAGAGTGTGAGTTCAATACCCGGTTAAGGCAGTGGAGAATTTTCAGAGGGAAATTAACAAGAGATAACTGATAACTAACATCCATTAAACATGGCACATGGAACTAGAACAGTTTACCCCAGTGAGTGAAATAAAGGGTTAAGTTCGACATTCCAACCACCTGAAGAAGGCCGGAGTGTACAACAGCCGAAATGTTGTAATAAATATGGCAACAAAGATGAGGACAATAGTCTGAATAATGTAAATAATGTACATAATACCTCATCTCAGAAATATAGACAGATACAGAAAAATGACTGTATCTAACTACTATTTCAAGATGTTGGATACAATAAACATTATGGTCTAATCCCCATCACTGGACTTGTCCAACATTTAAATCCTATATAATAAGTGTAAAGAATGAACCCTGCTGGCTACTCAGTGCAAATGGCATTGCCTGAACTTAATTAATTAGCTATAAAAATCACACAGATATTACAGGGGACATAAAGATACTGACATTTAATGAAAAGTAGTCAACTGAGTTATATGATGATCAGGAAGTTGACAGAGTTAGGGTAACTGGAAATTCAGGTTCAGGGGCTAATTGAAAGATAGGGAGAGAGAGAGAGAGAGAGAGGGCAAAGCAGAGAAAAACTTGACATATTGATTTGTGACTGAAATGACATTTTCATAAAAATAAGCATCTGCATCAAATCCTGAAATGCATTATAGAATCTGACATGTATCAGAGGAGAGAAGTGAAACATGTGCAGATATGTCAAAGGAGGAAAACCACGGCAATGTAATGCAGTGGACAGATAGATGTTTGCATTAGAAACAACAGAAAATGCCCTAAAAGACCAGAGCAAACAGTACAACATTGTTACTTTACTGATTTGAATATGACTTGTTGCAGTAAAATCAATTTATGATGTTTGTACATCATTTTGACTTTACCTTGACCTGAACTCCAACTTATGCACTAAATGAGCTACCATCTTTTCCAGAAAAACAACATTGTTTTATTACTATTATTGTTGTTAGTATTTACATCATTTAATAATCTTTGTTGTTATTACCACAATGTTTCTGCCATTGTGCCTTTCAGCCTTCATCAGCTGTCAGTCAGTCCAGAAATGTTAAGGAATTTTGAATTTAGATTTTTATTTAATCCACAGAGGTAGATTGTTTTCATTCCACTGTCCATGTTTAGAGATATTTTGTCTCAGTCTTATTTAGTACTGTACAGTTATTGCTTGCCCCTTTTTGATTGTGTCCAAGTACACATTGCCCAGACAAGGGATAGAACTCACAAATACTATGGCATCAAATTCACCAACCAGTGCTTTAATCTACAAGACTAATATCCCATAGGATTAAATTACCTGTAGGTTACTCAGATCAATAATGAAGGCCAGAGGTTACAAATGTGGAAATGCTGTGATAGCAACAACAATAGTTCACATCTAAAATAATGTAAATAATGATAATTTCTTTTCCTAGAAATTCAGAAATAAATTGTATCATGTATTAGAAAATAAAAAAGAATAAAAAAAATAGAGCATTTGAGATCCAGACAGACTCCAGAAACATCCATATATTGAACACTACTCATTGTCAAGATGCCCTTTGCTTTTTGTTTGGCACAAGCCCACTTGTCATTTTCAGTAAACAGATTTTCCTAAGTGGTCAACTACACTTAACTTCAATAATAACTGCTTTAATCAGTGTGACTGGATCATAACCCTCCACAGCATTATTTACTATTTACTAGATTTATTTACAGTGCCCTCATCTTTGTTATTGTTATCAGAATGTGCCCTGTAGCCTTCTTCAGATATCTGTTAATCCAGGTAACCTTCAAGGAATTTCAAACTGAAACCTTTATTTAATCTATGGACATAGACTGTTCTTGTTCTGCTGTCTATGTCTAGGGATAACTCATCTTGTTCTATTTTAGTATTGCTAACTTATTGCTAGTCCTGTTTCTACTGAAACTGAATCTATACTCCCAACTCAGGGATTGAACTCACAATTACTTCTTTTGTACTGCTCACTTATTGCTAGTCCTGTTTCCACTGAGTCTAAATCCCAGGCCAGAGATTATTTTTATACGTTAGTAGCATAATAGTTATCAGCATATAAAGTGGAACTGTTGAGCCAAGTTCAAATTCTAGCCTCACCTGCTGTTCACTTTCACACTAATGCCCTTGGGAAAAGTATGGGCTTTCTTGCCTTGGGTCTAAGAGAAGGAAACAGGAAACTACTTCACTATATTTCCAAAGCAGTCAAAGCAATTCACAGATAATAAATAGAGGGAATCTGGAGAGTCATGATTGCTTCCACCCTGAAAGGATATGAGATATAGAGTTCTCTTATAAGTTAATGGCATGAGAAATGGAATCACCAAACATAGTTCAAACTCCAACTGTTTATTTTTTTGTTTTATTTTTACTTCACACTAATGCCCTTGGAAAAGGCATGAATCTGTATTTCCTTATAATCCAAGTTAAAAATTACTTCCTGATGTTAGTATAATGTAATCCAGTATAACCTGTCCTTGCAAAGGAGATGGGCCCACTGACTAACCTCCATTACTCTTAATAATGCTATAAATGACTGAATATGGGACCCCAACAACCACAAGATAAATCTAGAGGCAAACTGCATGAAAAACTATGTTTGAACAATTAAAGGCTTGTAAACTTCTGAAGTAAAACAGATACTTTTTTCTCTTTATCACTATAATTGTTTTATTTTTCATTTTATTTTTTGAGGGAATACTCTCAGTTTTGAGCCTAAATGTATTTGGAACAAACTAGAAAGAAATAAAAATGCCAGCATAAAATTAATCAAAAAATTAAAGTAACCAATATGTAGATTTAAAAGAGTTTATAATTCATTCATTTGTTTATTTTTATTAAAAAAAATAATATCCTTTTTTTTCTGTTCTACAGAAATTGAACAGAACATTTTTCGTGCAACCAACCAGCCATTAAAAAAAACACGCACACACAACTGAAAAGAGATTTGAAATTCTCATGCACTTTTTTTTCAAGGAATACAAAGTTTAAGGAAACAAATAAAAACTACATTTTTTTAAAAAAAAAATAAATATATTAGAAATATATATATATATATATATATATATATATATATATATATATATATATATATATATATATACACACACAAGGTATATTTATGTGCAATATATATATATATACACATACATACACACACACACAAGGTATATATATATATATATATATATATATATATATATATATATATATGTGTGTATGTATATATATATATATATATATATATATATATATATATATATATATATATATAGATAGATAGATAGATAGATAAGAAAGGTATCTAATATATGAGAAAATCTTAATACATTAATCTTTGGGAGAAAAAAAGAAACATGATGAATAAAGTTAGTATATCCATCTATACTTATAAATACTTTTCCCTATATGTACACAGGAAAGTAGAAATGTCTTCTTATACAATAAAATAAATTGGTTCTTGTATGGAAGGCAGGATGTTATTAAACAAAGTAATAGAGATTATTGAATCAGATTGAACCTCAAGAGTAATTCGGCAAAATCCTTGCAGAAACTTTACCACTTATTTTACATATTTCTTGGTTATAATTTTGGCAAATTTTAGTGTTATATATATATATTCATATACTGTGCATTAAAAAGCAAATAGGTATCTTTGCTTTGTATAGATCCAGATTAGCCTTAAACAATATACAAAAGCTAACAACTTATCTGGGGTAAAGTTATTAAATAATTCACCTGGCAGTAATCTATCTACCTATCATTTTTTCATTATGCTTTTAAATGCAAAATGGTTGACAATGTGCTGAGCGTTCATTAGAATTCGAAAAATTCATCCATTATGGAATTTTTTCTCTCTATGCTATAATGTCATGGTCATGCATGCATTAAAGCATAAAAAAACTGTTCCTGATTATACAATATAATTAACAATGATACCAACACACAAAATATGTTTATGTAGACAAGATATCAGAAGTAGGGTTTATTAAATAAATATGTTTCATTCCCTGTAATAGTTATAGATTTAGTAACACACCAAATTCTGGTTAGAGAAAAAATAAATTAGTTGTATTTTAACACAAACTGCATTTGAACTCATTTACAGAAGTCAGTAAGTCTATTACCTAAAAATGTGAAAAAAAACATTGTATAAAAAAAATTAAAAATACTCTTCCTGGTCAGTTCACTTAATCTAACACTTTTCCATTAATCCCATTGCTTATAGCCATATCACGTTGAAACACTTGTTTTCATCCAATCACTGAAGTTAAGCAACAAAGAGCCTGGTCACTGCCTAGATGGGTGACTGCTTGGGAATGCCAAGTGCTGTAAGCTTGAATGTGCAGGTGGTGTAATTGGAGAGCTGAGTTCCAAATTCAGTCATGTTTGTTATATTAACTTATGCACAGATACCCTTGGTAAAGGTATAAATCCACCCCCACCCTCCAGCTATGGTTTAAATTAGTAGGACTTGTATCAGTAAATCATTATTATCTCAAAAAATTCTTACAATTTAAAATTATTTTCTAGCTTTAAATAAGCTGCAAAAGGTTGATAAGTCATAAAAACAAATCAATTCATTAATCCCAGAGCATGACAATATACACTGAGAATTGCAGATCATAATTCAGTTAATATTCACTACTGAATTAAGTGCATTAACAAAGATGGTTATAATATCAAAAAATGAATATTTGTTGTATAAAATATGTTTTTTCATCATTACGCTATAGACTTATTGATTTATGAATTACCAGGATGTGGTGGTTCAACTGATAAATGTATTATTTCATCAGCCTTTCAATTCAGATCCATTGCCTCTTATCTCTTACTCTATGTGTCATGACTTATCAAGTTCTTTATGCCATTGGACCAGATATTTCATGCAGGTGTGTATTTGTTTTCAAACTTTGTATATCCTTCTTGAAATAAGTCAAAGAGGTAAGAGGAAGCAACTCAGTTCATTAAACACACATTTGGTCAACAGCTTGAACAGTTGTTAGCTGAATTTTGATCTAAATCATTCACTGTATCATATTCAATAAATGTGATTAACATTCACCAATGAATTATTAGCAAGGAAGGAGATTATTTACAAATAAATATTTGTTATATAAAATAAATGCATTTTTGTTATTATAATACAGACTTAATAATGTACTTGTTTGAAGGTAGATCAACTGGTCTGAAATCAGGCACATAGTTATTAGCTAGATTTTGATCTAAAATTTTTGCTGTCTAATGTTCAGTCTATGTGAGTAAAATTCTTCAGTGAATTATGTGCATTAACAAAGGATGAGATTATGTTTAAAAATATCTATTGATTATGATAAATGCTATTTTTATCATTAGGCTAAGGACTTATTGATGCAATTATCTATTACTTTACTGACAGTTTGTTGCATATTATCTGAAAAAGGAAGACCTGCTTTTCTAGATGGATTGTATACTTTTACAAAGGTTGGAACTAGAATGACCTAATAAGTTTTATTCTTAATTGGCCACTCATACAAAAAATAATAAGCCTCAGTTTTGTTCAATAAATGAAGTTAAAATTAAAGTAAGTTTCAAGTGCATAAAAGTTCTTGTTACTAAATATTGGTATGCACTGGAGATTTTTATTTTATTTTATAATTTTCCTAAAATTTGACTAATTCACATCAGATGATATTATTTATGTTCATAATCTGCACTTCTTAAGTTCTCCTATGTTCATACAACAACCTTATTCAGTAACCCTCTACCTTGAGTGGCACTTGGGTCTTGTATTAGGAGAACATGTAATAAAAAAAATTAACCACACAAATTCATTTGGATTATGAAAACAACAACTACTAACACTTTATTCTTGGGCAAAATATATTTTGGGCTTTGTAAAAATGTTTGGCTTTGTATTTGGGGACAAGTAATAAAAATAATTAATCATGTTAATTCATTTGAACTTTGAAAACAGTAACCACTAGGAATTTATTCTTAACCAAAATGAATTTTGGGTTTTGTAAAAATGTTGGGATTTGTATTAATAAAAGATTAACCATGTTAATTCCTTTGGACTATGAAAACAGCAACCACTAATAATTTTGTTCTGAGCCTTTAACCCACTTTTGACTGTCACAAAACACACGTATGCATCTTGTTACATATTGCCACTGATGCACATGTGTGTTCGTTCCATTGATTTATTTTAAAGGATGTATTTTTTTGATTATAGTTTTTATTATTCTTCAAAATTAATTTTTCCACCTTAATTTGTAGAGCTGTTTGTTAGTTACAGTTATGAAGTGGAATTTCCTTTGTATTTCATCAGTCCAGTGGTAGTCTTTCATCTCACATGCCAAGAGCTGCTCTACCCTTACTGCTTTGGTATTTATATAGTCTATGCCTTATCTATACTAATTAGGAAGTCATTTACATATCACTGCAGTTAAAAAAAAATTCATGACACACAAAGGGAAAGAAAAAGAAAGCCACTGATGAGGAGGTAGATTATTAATGTTCTGTATAGTTTGATGAATTTAATTTTCCAAAATGAAATATAAGTAGCCCTTTGCATCAATTTGTAATGGTAACTTTAACAAACAAAAATCATATTTTGTAAGGGTTCAAATATCCAAGGTAGGGCTCAATGTGTTAAAGATTTTATGTTGAAAAAGAAACTGTAATAAGAAAAATTATAATTTGGGGATCCTAGATTTGTAGAAATATTATAGTGCTTGTTATAAAAACTTATATAATTCACTGTATTGTTAGCTGGAATAACAATAGTTATAATAGTGTTAGTAATGGTATTAGTCATAACTATAAGGAACAACATATTAAAAAAAACATTTTTTCATTCATCTCATATTCTTCTGAAAGACCAAATTTTGAAAAAATTGTTTGACAGCATTAATAACTGTAACAAGTTTAAATAAACAATAGAATACACAGACAAAAATGCCATGTCTCTTCAGGACATAAGCAGTCATAGTTCTTTATTATCTGTAAACTGCCTATATTTCTTTGATAAAATAGCAGAGTGGTTTTCCAATTCCTTCTCCTTGACTTAGTATTCAGAATACACTAGTTGCTACTCAAAGCTTAAGAACCTATTTTGCCATGCCATTTAACTCATAGGAGGAGAAGAGATGGATTCATACCTTTGCCAAGGGCATTTGTGCAAAAGTGAACAGGTTAGATGAGGATTTGAACTCATCTCACTGATTCTACTTCCTGTGTCGATAAACAATATACGTCCATCACAGGTAATAAAAACCAGTTTATAGTAGACATATGATTTACTATGAAACATAATATTTATTTTGAGGTGAAATGGAAGATCTAATCATATTTTCTATTGAACTACTTTGAAAGTGATTACCATAAAAGTTTAGAATACACTTAAATCTATTTTCTCACCATAGGTTAAAAATTTGTCTGTGTTGTGTTTTTCTGAAATATTTTTAATTATTGAAGTAAAATTAAAGGAATTAATTCTGTTAAAAAGTAACAGAATAGGCATTTTATAAATGTGAGACCAATGAAAAGTTACTATCTTTATCATTTTCCTATTTTTTAGTAGACAAAAGAAAAAAATACTCATTAAATAGGGATCCATGCTTGAAGCAATACTGTCAGATTGAGTCACAAGTAATAAATGGGGGTAAATTTAAAAACCCATAGCTACTAAATTTTGAATTATCTCCCTTATCAGCAGTAGTTCATATTGGCTCACCTTATTCTAAAAGTAGTCCTAAAAAGTCATGAATTCAAATTTTTTCAGTTCTGGGCTTTCATGAATTGAAAGAAGCAAAATTCAAAATTTATTAGTGCTGCACTCTCAAAAGTAGACCAGTATGGCAATCCTGACTAAAAGACTAACCAGTTGATATAAACAATATTTATTCTTTCTAGAATGCATTGATGTCAGGCATAAAATGTCATCATAGTGCATATTTCAGCTTTGTTGAATTAGTTATATAAGTTGCCTGTGAGTGTTAGAATTTTGTCAGTGTTAAGAACTTGAAATGCACTGTGTGCTTTTGTTGGCCAGTTTTATAGTGCAATGCAAATCAGATAAAAAATCTGGAGAGGTAGGGAGGAAGGAAAGGAAAGAAGAAAAGAGAGACAGAGATTCTGTCAGTCTCCAAGAATTAGTGAGAATTGTGGGTAGGAAGAAGATAAAGAATGCTTGGGATTAGGAAAAATCCAACTTACCAATTTTAATCTCCAAACCTATTAGAATGGTAATAGTAGATTATAGAAATATTTAAAGCAAAAGTTGGAATGAGAAAATGGCAATTGTACATTGTGGAAAAAGATAGAGAGATTGAGAGAGAGAGAGAGAGAGATGGCAAAGGAAACTGTTAAAGGGACAAAGAGAACAGTAATATTACATGATAGAAATATATAGACAGAATGTTAAACAACCATTAACACATAAAAGAGATATGTGAAATGATAGACAGAAAGAATGAATCATAAAAAGAACATTATCACTAAAGATAGAAAGGAAATTAAAGAATTACATTAATAAGCAGAATCTAAATACTATGCAACAGAAAAATAAAGAGAAATAGAAAACGGTGACATAGTATAAAAGATAAAAGTTACAGTTTAGAAATGGGTAGAATTATAGATACAGAATAAAATGGAAGAGTATATTATAAAATTTATCAGCAGAACAGTCATGGAATATCAAAAGAAAAAAAAAACAAAAGGGTAGGTAAACTGAAGGAATTTAATTTATTATACAAATTATATATAGGCTCATGGCTTATATACATATATGTAAAAATGAATATACATAAGGTTATATATATTTGACTTTAAGATATTGCAAGAAAACTTCAAATGAAGTAAAATTAATGAAAGTGTTCAATATACAAAGATCTTTCTTCACATGATTATTTAGTCAGTTTCTTGTTTTTTACCTTGTGCAACTCTGAGTTTCATTCATTGGCAATTTTCAGATGGCTTGTAAGGACAATTGATATTATTTTTATATGTACCATCCTTTCAGGATATTAACAATAATCTTTTCTCCACAATTTTCTATCCTTTGTACATCTTATAAATTTTGTTTTCTTGCTATCCCTCCTAAACCCTGTTCTGCCATCCATGTACACCATTTACTTGTTAGTTACTCATTAGGTAGGTTATATGCTGTTTTCCTCTGTCTCTCTTGCTTTCAATATGTCCTGTGAGTATTAAATTTTTCAAGCCCTCTTTCCTTATTTCAACTCTTTCTGATGTTAAGTATAAGTTTTTTTTTTGTTTCTATTTTCTCTGAAATTTTGTCATTGCTCACATGTTCGGTCCATGCTATTCTCAGCATTTTTCTGTAGGAGAACA